AAAAAAGTTCTTTAATTTGCATCCAAGATGTTTTCAGTAAGATGTTTCTCTTTATCACCCCCCATTCTGTAATGATATAGACTCATGTAATAACTTGGGGTAGAAGAGATCTCTGGAGGTCATCTCATCCCAGCCCGGAGGAGACTCACCGGAGGGCCAGCTTGAATTGGGTGGCTCAGGGATTGGCCAGTCGAGTTTTGAGTATCTCCAAGGATAGAGATTACACAGCTTCTTTGGGCTACCTTCTCCATTGTTCAGCTAGCCTCATTGTGAATTATTTTTCCTGATCTAATTGGAATGTCCTGTGTTGCGACTCGTGCCCACCGTTTCTCATCCTTTCAGTGTACGCTTCCAAGAAGAGTCTGCCTCCGTCTTCTCTATACCCTGCCTTTAGGGCATTGAAGACAACAGTAAGATTTCACCTTAATCTCTTCTTCTTAAGACTGGAGATTTCATAAGATGGAACAGTGACCGTTCTCTGACTCTCATTGTACCTGTCATTCGAAAATATACAATAGTCTCCTGCAGTAAGGTAGTTCTGTGGCGCTCATACTGAACTGCTCCCTTCAGCTTATGAAATCTGACTGACATAATAGATGAGTGGTGGATAACACCTCTCCCCTCCCATAACCTGTGGGTCTTGTGAGCTGTAGTACTGTGTTGGACTCTTGTTATTTTTGCATTCTTGATAGCTCTTGAAGTCTTATACAAAATGCTTATTATGTCTTTCTGTAATGGCAGAAAGCAGCTAGACAGAAAGTAATTGTGCATAAATTATAAATTCCTTTTATTCATACTGAAATTTCTTCAGAGGGATTGGGTGATCAATAAGTTACTAAAATAAATGAAACTTAGAATAATGTTAATCTTAACAGCTTAACATATCTTAAGAGTTATGTCATGACATTTTTTTTAGAATTGGGTGGTGTCCTGTACTGCTAATAATAAAATGTTTTAGCAATGAATAAAAATGGATTCTATTTTAATCAGTGCGAATATTCCAGGGTGCATAAGCTCCTCTAAAAACTCACAGGATCAAATTCTGCCCTTGAAGTCAAGGGAGAGGTTTGCATACAAGTCAAAAGACAGGCTCTGGTCCATACTGTTTTGTTTGACTTTTATTTTATTTATTTTTGATAATTAAAATTGGAAGAGTTTGTAAGGGAAAATATGACAAATCAGGAAAAATCTTGTTTAAAGGTGTGCTGGATTACAGATAATATTTGAAAACGTGGAAATATTTTTATTAAACTGTATTGCCAGTAACCACTCAGTCCTGCACTTAGATAAGAAAAAGTGATCTGTGTTTTAACAAAACTGGCCAGTCTGTGTGATCGTCGTCTCTTAAAAATAGGTTACACGTTCAGTTTAGACATAAGGATGTAGAGTCAAGGCTATCTTAATGCAGGGAGTTCGCAACACTGATCTGTATTCCTTCTCTCCTCTCTTTTATGTTACAAATCTCTGTGTTTTTGAGGCTTAAATAGATTTCTCTGAGCTTGGAGATGAAAGTTATTCAAATGATGCCTTGGAGATTTTCCCATCTGTGTTTAGCTGGTTTCCAAAAGTGTCTGCATGATATCTTCATAGGAGTCTTTCAGTTGTGATAGTGTGTCTCTGTGGTTCTGTAGCTATTACCATCAGCTTTCAAGTGCCTGCCTTGGTCTGTGTTGGAGGTTGGTCATACAGCCGGGGGCCGATGCCGTTGGCCTGTTGGGCAGGTGGCCTGGGCAAGCGCAGCAGGCTTTCTTTTTTTGAGCTCTGTAGCAAGTGGGATCAAGCAGCTTATGGTATAGAGTTCAACTGTAACTGAACGTTATTCTTATTGGCTAGTTTACTGTTCCTCTTGCATTATGTATAGATTACATTTTCAAAAAAGCAAGCCTGGCAGAAGAACACCTTAACACACAGAGGTTAACTAAACGTCAGAATTACAGTCTTATTTTGCCTTCTATGAATGTATGCGCTGTGATTAACACAGTCTTGTAACTGACGACATGCTTGTTTTGCATGCATTCCTTTCCTCATTTGGTGTGAATGATGGATTATGATGGGTAATCATTTGATATATTTTTGCAGTGTGTGATGTTTCAATGAATGTAATGTTTAATTCTTAATGGAGTGGCTGTTGTACTATTGTTGCAATCCTTAACATCTTAAAGAATGTGAAGCTACTGTCTTCTCAATATCCTTGGGGATGGTGGAGGATACGGCATTCTACATGTTATGGTTGGGAGACTGAAGTGCAGAAATAAAAGCCCGCATGACTAAGGTATCGGTCAGTCTTGTGTGCCGGAACTGAGAAATTTAGCACCCGTTTGTTTAGAAAACAGCATTTTTAGAGTATTTGTGTTCCTATTCCTTTTGACCTCTTGTAGCTGAAAGTATTTATCACTTCTTAAACCTGACTCTTCATTTTCAGGTCTCAAAAGTGAAGAACACAGTGTCCTCCTGTGGAAACTTTGATTTGTAGGATTTGCTTTATGAGAGAACTGTTTCTGATATTGGCATAGCATCTGTTCCTCTATGGTGATTTTTAAACTCTCCTAACCATGAGAGTATTTCTCATAGAGCAGCATTTTGCCTTGTGCTGCAGACATCTTTCACCGTGCTGAAAAACAGCTTTTTTTTTTTCTTTACTCAATTCTAACTTAATTTCTGAATTACAGCTCATTTTGGTGCCAAATATGACGAGTGTTGTCTTCAAGCTTGCAGAAGGGATCTCAATTAAGGTTGTATGGGTAGCCTTCATTCTAACATTCTTTATTTTCTGCATACTGATTTTTGTGGTTGCAGTGTAAAAATAATTTTTAAATAATTTTTTAAGCATTGAGAAAACAAAAATATTTTAAAACTGTATTGATATTTAATTAGAGAAGGACAAAGAAGCACGTTTTGCCAGTAGACTTCAGAAGTATTTGCTAAATGTCAGAGGAATATTAAGCCTTAGAATTGGCTCTGATTTCCCAGTTTCCACTGGAGAAGATGTGTTTATGGAAGAGATATTATTCTGGATTTAATGCTGCACCTTGGCCTTTGTGCCCAAAATTTCTTACTGATCCCTGCTGGTACAGAGAATCAACTTCACTGTTGTTCTTGAAGTCTGGGATGCAACATACTTACTGGGCTGTGGTTATGGTACGTGCATAGTCTAGTCAGCCTGTCTCAGCTGTAAGGTGATGGAGCGAATCACCTGAGGATGGACTCTTCAACACATTGTTACTATAAACTAAGATGATAGGTATATGTGAATTTTCAGACATCTGTAATATTTTTCTGTATTTTCTGTAATCTACTTTTCGCAGGGTTAGAAAGTGCTAAAATGCCTTTTCCCTACGACCAGCACTTGCTCCCCAATGAATTTTAAGTCTGTGCTCCAAAGCATGGAAATGCCAGAGCTTCTGGGCGTGACAATAGGCAATATTTTGTTAGGGAGACAGTTTTTCCAAATCCAATTCACACAAATTATTGAAGTAAAAAAATTATGATGAAGATTCCTTGATTTTATGAACCTTCATCCTTAATAGCTTTATTTTCTATAAATTAAAAACATCTGCAAATATATAAAGAAAAGCGTTGGACTGAAGGTGCTGGTATTTCTGCTACCTATAATAGCCTACATGTAGCAAGTACTTGGAGAATTCCCATATAAATGCCTGCACAAATAATTGGTGCTTCCTAGCGTTCCCTTATCTCCCTCCTTCAATTTAAAATATTCTAATTATAGTTTCTCATTTTGCTATGATAATGACGTTAATATTTTCCAGTCCACATCTGTTTGACAGTCTGGAATTGAATGAAGTAAGCGCTGCAGGAGCTGACTTTAAACATAGCGGAGAAATTTAAAATTGAATGGGTGCTCTGCAGTGTGGATTTAGAACCCTGACATGGAGTTGTAGAAAAAATTCCAGACTTCCAAAGTTGTCCAGTCCAATCTCCTTCTTAAGGAGGATTAAGATGGATTAAGTTGTCTAATCAATGTTAGATTGCATCGTCCAAGTTGAATTTTGAAAGTCTTCAGGGATGGGTATCCCTCACCCTCTTGGGACTAGTCTGTGCTTAATGCTGTTTTAAATTTTTTTTTCCTCTTCTATCTAGTCAGAGTATCTTGTGACACAATTTTTGACCATTGTTTCTTGTCCTTTTGCTTTGCATCTCTCCCAAGAGCCTGGCTCTATCTTCTGTATGACCCCATGTTAGACTGTGGAAATCGCTATTAGATTCCCACCCTCAGGTTTGTCCAGCCTGAAGAAGAGAAGACTAACAACTTGATTTATCTTGTGTCGCTGATGTATCCATAGAAGTCTTCTTGCTACCCTTCACATCCCTTGCTAGGTTCAGTTCCAGCTGAGCTTTGCCCTGTGTTTGTCCATGCTTTGTTGCCTGTCCTTGTGTCCATCTCCTGTTCACTTCTTTCTGTGTTTTTCCTCAGTGTAGACTTGCCTGCTCAGGCAAGCTAGCTTGCTGCTGTGCTTGCCTGTTTTCTTGCTCAAAGAGATGAACCAGTCTTGTGCTTTAATGAGTTTGTCGTTGATTGACCAGCTCTCCTGCTTTCCTTTGTCCTACAGCATACCATGAAATCCTGCCCGCTGGTTCCTCAGACAAGCCATAGTCTACTCTCCTGCAGTTCAGTGTCTTTATTCTGTTAGCCTCCTCATTTCATGTTTTCCTATCATGAAACATAAATGCTTACTGCTAAAATCTGTGAGTTGTCCCATCAGGATTGAGGACTGGGTGCAAATAGGCAGTAGATGTGCTAGTATTTTAGGGACAGGGCCTTCTATGCATGGATTGCTTACCTGGAATTAATATCTGGTTTTGTTATTAAATAAGATTTAATATCAGTCTCCATTGCTCTTGATTTTTCAATCTAAAAACTTCTTGCCTTAGACTGTTTTAAAGCTTTTGTTTCTAGGTAGCAAGACTTCTATACAGTGTATTTTCTCTGATTTTGTAATATAAACTTATTCTAATCGTTGAAATGCCTCTTACTTTTTCAGATTACATATTTCAGTTTGTGGTATTATAATAAGCAGAATCAGCGCAGATGGGTAGATTTGGACAAGCCTCTGAAAAAGCAGCTGGACAAATATGCATTGGAGCCAACTGTGTATTTTGGGGTAGTGTTCTACGTGCCTACTGTTTCTCAGCTTCAGCAG